ACTCGACCGTGATCAGCTTTGAATATTGCTACTTAAGGAAAATATTGTCTATGGTAGAGGACCCAACTAGTCTGCTCCAGGTATTTTGCAGCCCCCTTCCCCATGTCATGAGTAGTGACAGGCCCAGACAGGTGCAGAATCTCATTCTAGCCTAAATATCTGGGGACAAGACACATGGGTGACTCTGTATGACTCCTGTCCATTCTAGGCTAGATGGGGCCTCGGACACACCAGACTTCAGGACTTCCCATCCCTTCAGGGATATCTGAGGGATGACTTCTGAGAAGAAGGTCAGCTATGAAGATAACTGGGTGGAGGCGAGGGAGAGAAAAAGAACTGGCTTATCTCCCAGCTCCTGGGGCAGGAAAGCAGCCACCACTGTTCAGGCCCCATCCAAACCCCTCCCAGCCACTGCTGTCCTGAAGCAAACACCCTGGGAAGAAGCTGGCTTCCCTGATAATGCGGCCTGCCATGACCAGCATCCACACACATGTATTCTTACACAGGAACCCGGAGTGTGCACAGCCAATTTAACACCATTCCTAAAGCCCCGGTTGTTTGCCTGATACACTTTGACCAAAAGATGCAGAAGGAGTTCTTCCTACATTTAGACAGAGCATAGCTGCGGGCACTGAGGACAGAGAGAGACCCAGCCTCCTCCCCCACCCCCCAGAAGGCAGCGTGGTCTGCGTTCGTTGTAATATTAAGAACACAAAGTAGATCAAGGCATAGAGGGTAACTGGGTTTCACTGCTGCTAGAGAGCTTGCGTCTGAAGAGAGGATGTGGACACTGAGGTTCAGAGAGGGGAGGAGAGAACACTCGGGGAGGGGGGGGAAGAACCCCAAGTACAAAGATCCAGAAATGAAGACACTGTGTGTGTCTGAGGGATCAGACCGTGGCTGGGTGGGCCCTGCTGGGGACTGGCCTGGGATTCCGCAGAGGAGGTCTCAGAGCAGGGAGGCCCCACAGGAGATCTCTGTGTGAGCAAGGACGACACAAGTGGCCTCCTTCCCGTGGTGGTCATCAATCCTGCAGAGCCAACCCAGAAGTCACTTCCTCTAAGGGAGTGGCTTGGCCCCACCCCTGCCAGTCCAGATCACCCAATGCGTGGGCACCAGCCTCCTCATGCCTCTGACCGCTGCCATGATCATAAAACCCTGCAGTTGTGGCTGATACCCATCATCGCCACATGAGCCTCTGCCCACTGTGCCAGAAACCATCTACCTTGCACACCGCCTGGCCACAGCAGGCTCTCACCCCACCCCCTAAAGATAACACAACAGCACGTAAATACACACAGCAGGCTGCCCTTCAGGAGTCAGGTGATCTGTGCTGCCCCTCGATGGAGCTCAGGGGACCTCCTCGAAGCAGGCAGGACAAGTGTGCAAAGAAACTGTCTCTGCTATGCCCACCTAAGCCTGCTGCCACAGCTATCCAATGCCAACCACATTCAGGCTCAGTAGAGAGTCGGTACCATGAGACCAGTCAAGGGTCAGGCGCTGGACTTTGCTCAGTTTACAGTACAACGCACAGTCCTCCTAGAAACAGAGAATCCCATGCTTTCCTTTCTGTATCCCTGGAGCCAGGAGAGCTCACACAGATGGAGGAAGCCACGTGCCAAGACACCATGGCTGCGTTTTATAAGCCACAGCATACCTAGTACATTGAGAAATATCCCTGGGAACAAAAGCCTTGCATATTTGACCTCTGCTTCAGCCCCAAAAGCTGAGGGACTTTGGTTCATGCTTTCAGAGCCTACAAAAGCTCAGTGCCGATGCCTATGTGTATCTAATCCTACAAAATAATAGTTACGGACGTGAACTCCAGGAAATGGAATCAAGAGGGTTTTTGTTTTCTTTTTGTCCTATTTGTTTATATGTCTTTGGGAGTAGAAGGGGAGGCAGAAATAGAGGGGCAAAGGGTGAACAAATGCAGCAATGGGACTCATTCGACACTATGTGGAAAATGAACTGTACAACTTGTGGGTGGGGATGGAAGGGGAAAACTAGGAGAAAGCCGGGGAAAAGGTGGCATTGTCCAAAAGGAAATGTTCTCTTTACCTGACTTATATAACCGTAACCCCTCTTTACATCACATTTATAATAACAATAAAATACTTTAAATTTCAAAAAATGCTCAGTGCTCATGATCCCTGGTGCTATTAGACCCTTGTTAATTAATCAACATATTAAAGTCAGCACGTTAGAAATGAAATTTTGTTAATAAAAGATAGCACTTCACATGTCCCAAGTAATTAAGAAATTCTTTTTGCCAAGTTTAGTTACATTACACATTTTCTGGAGGGTATTTGGCAACTTGTATTAAAAGCCCTTCTTAAACCTGAGCCTATTTCTGAACAGCTATCACAAAACCAGGCTACAGGAATACTTGTCACAAAGCACTAGTTATAAAGAGCAGTTGAAAACAACCCAAATATCGAGCAGGAAGTAATCAGTTAATTAGGGCACATCTGGACAATGGGGCACTCTGCATCTAAAGTAATGACAGAACAATAATCAGCCTCTTCTAGCACTTGCTCTGTGCTGCAGGCCAGAACAAAAGCTTGACATGCACAATGCTACTTAGTTCCTGGTAACAGAGACTTAGTATCCTCCTCTCATAGATGAGAAAATCAAGATCTAGAAGAATCCTCTGCCCAATGTCACATAATCTGACTCTGGAAATCAACTTCTTAGCTCTTATCCTACCTGGCTTCAAATGATCCCATAAAAGAAATACTATAGAAGCAATATCAGCACATGGAATGATGCCAATGATATATTGGTGGAAAACAGGTTAAGAACTAGAATAGGCAACCAGCTCTTACTTATGCACATGCAGGCAACACTAAGGGACGTGGTTTAGAAAGGCACACTGCTAGCATGCTGGGGTAGACCTGAGCAGGTGGGGTGCTTGTCTGTTGTTTTCCTGTTTTTCTTTAACAAATCCACGCTGTTTCCTATCAGGAAGAAGAGTTAATTTTAACTTTAAAAAAATTAACACAAATCACCCCAAAAATTATCCCTTGCAACTCAACTTCTGCTGTAGAAAAAGGTTCCAGCTTGCCAGCCTGGCTCTAAGGACCAACACAACCTCGGGCCTCAGCTCTGCTTGCTCTTCAGGGCTCAGTTTCCCCCTGGAAGAGACAGGATGGGTTCTTCTCATCCTGCCTCTCGGCAAACTGCCCCCCTCTTATGCCAGAAAGCTCACTGGGCACTGGCACCACATCCCAGGAGAGCTGCCTGACTGGCAGCACAGCTCTGGGCCAGCTATGGCTCTGGCAGCCAAGCCTGCATGAAGTGCATTGTCAGAAGTGAAGGCCCCAAAGCCACAGAATCATCCAGGAACAGGGGGCCCAGTTCTGCAGCAACATATGCAAGGATATCTCTTCCCTCCATCAACTACTTCTGCATTCTTTGACCTTGGGCAAATTGTTTCTTCTAAGCTTATCCTTTTTTTTTCCTTTTCCTTCAATTCATCAAATAAAGAAAACTAATAACCTAGAAAGGGAATCATAAAACAATTCTATATAATTATATATACAAATAATTGTACATACATATAATTACATACATAATTATATGTATGATATGTGCCTACATAAGTATGCATATATACATATATACATGGGGCGGGTGCATAACGCTGTGTTCCTAGCTCTTCTGTTGAGATGGGGTCTGGTGGATTTTTTTCCTCTGGGCTGGACTCCAGCTGCCATCCTCTGGATTGTAGCCTGTAACTGGGATGACAGGCATGGGCCTCTAAGACAGCATTTGCCTGTACGATCGCCACTCTGATGGCCAGCACAATGACGATCTACACTTCTCAGAGAAGAAGCCTTTGAGTGGTATAGCCACTGATCAGACAGTGGTGCCGTGGAGAATGTCTGCCGGGATCACTGCTCCCACACCGCACCCAGGAATCCCTGCTCGGTGTTTAAACCTGGGAAGGCCCCCCCACCCCGTTTGGAGGGTCACCACTGTCATAGCTTTTTGAGAAAAAGTGTCCCCAGACCCCCAGCTACACACATCACCACCAGGCCACAGGTGGCTTTCCTGGGGCATGCCCCAAACTCTCCTATATGGAGTCAGTCCAAGGATCACCGGAGATTGGCTTTGCTGTTGTACCACCTATGCCAAGTCCCTATCCAGACCTGGCCTCATGCTCTTGGCCACCCGAGCTGCTTGCCCTATAAGGGGCCTTGTCCTCACCCCAGAAGTTAGGCCTGCTGGCGCTTATACTTGGCACCTATACTGCCCAGGGGCTTCCCCACCCCAAGCACCTGGGCCCTGGGCCTGGGTCTCCCAGCAGCCGGGGGGCAGAGGAATCCACACAAGATCAGCAGAGCTGGTTCTCTCCATAGCCACCCAGCGCTAAGTGTGTGAGGACGGAATCTGCGTGTGTGCACGCACACTCACGCACAGGCAGGCTTGCAAAGAAGTGTGTAAGTGGGAGCGAGTGGGTGGTGGATGTGTGTGTGAATGTGGGGGGGGAGGAGGAAGAGGAGGGGGAGGGGAGGAGGAGGAGGAGATGATGATGATGATGATGGAGATGGTGATGAGATGGAGATGGCCACCAGGTCGGGGCGGGCTGCAGGCCTGGCTGGGCCTGGCTGGGCCGGGCTGGGCTGTGCCCCCCGCCCCCCCAACACATTGAGAAATCTCAGTGAGTCACCGCGGGTTCTGCATATTAATGAGCTCGCTCGCTGCGAGGGCAGGAGCGCATTTAAACGAGGCCGGGTGGGGGGAGGCCGGGGCGGAGGG